TCCAACCTACAGATATCCCCTACCTTCTGACCTGAGAGGATACTGGAAAGATGAAGGACAGCAAGCAATGGGCTTAATGGACAAACCTCTAAGAGGGGAGGACATGTCCCCTTTCCCAGGGGCAAGGAACTCTTCAAGCTGTTGCTTTTTTGGGTTTTTTTTGCAGTCATTTGTCCTCTTGTTTTAAGCCCCCGCCAAGCACCAGAGAGAATCAATATATCCAAATACATCAGACTTCTCCCAGAGTCCCTTTGCTGGTTTGCTGCTGATGTATAGACAGATGATCTCATGAGACCTCTGCCACACTAGGCCACCGTGTCTCATCTATCTTAAGTGCATATATGAGCTGTGATTACTATTGCCACCGAGTGCCTCACGCTTTCAATGTATTTATCCTCCCATCAGTCCTGGGAGACAAGGGACGGCTCTTGTACCTCTTCCAGGGAGGATGTGGAGGGCCACGGAGGTTAAACGGGCTCATTGCTGAGGGTATCCGGGCCGTGGCAACCTTGGGACCCTCCGAGCATCTCCCTTGTCTCATGCTTCTGCCTTGCACAGCACCCAGGTGGCAGTGACCCCACCGATCACAGCTCTGGCTCAGGTCAGGACGGGATCTAGCTTTCAGCGCCGAGCCTAATCCTGAGATTAATGAGGTATTCCCACTATAAAGACTTCTCGATCAGACCTCTTATGAGTAAATACACCCTCAAGCCAAACTGTAATGTTTTCCTACCCTGGCAGCCGCTGTCTTAAGCCTTACACCAGAATCCATCATACTACAGCAATAATCAAAAGGCGATTAGACAAAACCACGGCAGAAAAGTCCATCAAGGGCCGTTAAGGATGACAACTTGGATCCAGCTTCTGGCTCACGATGTCCACGCATGGCAGACCAGTGCTGGCCAAGCAGATGTGCCAGGGAAGGAATCTGTGTGCACACCTCTAAGTTTTTCCACCCTTTCCTCGTGTCCCTGGCCCCATCACGGCAGGATAACCACGCTGGCTGGCTGTCCACAGAGCCATTACTGCTAAACCATGCCTGCTCCTCCTGGACAGAGGCTGCCGAGCCCTCATCCCTCCAGGGAGAGCCCTCACTGCTGTTCCTCAGCACATTTCCTGAGCTTAACGGGAGGCATGATGAGTTGTGTGTCTGCAGTACGGATAAATATCCCCTGCTTAGCTCAACACAGTGCTGCTCTCTCTGCTGTGCTTTGCTGTCACCCCCTGTGCCCGGCAGCTCCTGATGCTGCACTTTTTTCCTAGCCAAGAAACTCCAGCCTTTGTCCACTGAGAGAGGAAAACCATCATGACAACATGGCAATCGCCATGACAACATCAGAGTTACCCCCCAAAATAAATAAAGAGCCCAGTAACTATGGAAACACCTGAGTGACCAAACCTGGACTATTAACTAGCAGACCTCTCCGCACTTTACAGATGGCATCATGAGGTTGGGGACCATAACACATCTGACACCTTCAAAACAAACAGATGCTCGGCACCTATGGGTGCAAACATGAATGCACAGGCACACGCAACACTGCCAATGGTCCTCTGCACAACCTACATCTCCTCTGGAAAGATGCTGTTGCCTTCATACTGGATGTTAAACCCTGGCCATGGCTATCTACACCCTCCTCTCTTTGCTCTCCTCCTCCTTTGGCCCTGCTGAGGACACCTCTCTTAAATGCTGTCCTAATGGTCTTGGCACTGCAGGGTGTGCCAAGAGGGGATGGAGCCATCCCATCACCTGCCAGAGCTTGGCTTCCCAGCATGGTTTTGGTGAGCAGTGTTTTGAAGCCCCGGTGCCGGGCAGCTCGGGTGGCAGTTGCGGTACCAGCCCAGGGCAGAGCCCCGGTGTGATTAAGCCTCTTCCACTGAGGCAGAAGAAGCTGTGATGACACCAGCTCCACTTCTTTATCCACCTCAACCTATCCAACTGCATTATCAGGAGTTGCCATGAGTCAGTGCAGCATTACTGGGAGAAGAAATAAAAAAGGACAGAGAGGGGTGAGGCAGAGGGACAGAAAATATGCTGTAACACACCTTTCTTGGACCGGCCATGGGTTCACAAAACCCTTCTCCAGAGCCAGCATCCTGCTTTTGCTCATGGCAGGAGGATGAAGATGGGCACAAGCAGGACAAGTCACCACACAAGGCTCTGAGCGGCGATGGAGGCACCGACAGCGCCGGCACTCGTGCGATTCACCAGCAGAAAACCCTCTTGCACAGATTCACTCAACTCTTGAGTTACACAGTGAAAATATTCTCCTTCACCCAGCTATGGGGGAACCCTTCCAGCCCCCAAACCAAACAGAGCCTCAAAACCAGGCTTAACAGCTCCCATAACATGGCAACAACTGCAGTTCCTAAAATCAGCAGAGCTTACTGGACCAAGCTGCTGAACACAGATGGCACCAGAGCAATCATGGGACAGAAAACAGCCAAGGGGTCAGGGGAGCCGGGAAAGGGTCTCAAGTGAGATCAGTCACCAGGGAGTCAAGCTGCTTTCGGTGGAAATCCTCTGAAGGACCTGGCTGCACGCTTCCCCCAGTGAGCAAACACTCTTATTTGCTCCATTTCCCACCAAGAGCTTCACAGTAGGCTTACAGCTGCCAAGAAAATAATAAAGCCCGTCAAGTGCCTTTGCACAGAGGAGCACTCGCCGGCGTAAGCACGGGGGGATCGGCTCCTTCAGCTCCCGCTCTGTCCGTGCCTGGCACACACAGCGCTATCAAAGCCTTTCCCCAGCGACATCGGTGAGAGCCGCTTACCCATTCGCTACGTAAAACCTGAAATTATGCATCAGCTTTCCTTTAACCAATTCTCCTCGGTTCCTTTTCTCCACCACTCCAAGCGAGACCGAGAAAGACAGCGAGAAGGAACAGGAGGAGGCTCGCTCGAGACTTCTCCAGGGATGAGCAGTGAGGCAGACCTACAACTGAGAGAGGGATCGACAGCTAGCTGTGGGTCCCTGCTTGCTCCTCGCTCTCCAAATCAGAGTATATCCTACTAGGGAAAGGGATGCCATCTTGGCACTTGCTATAGCACCTCTGTGCACCTGCCCTGGCTCTTATTTCAGTCCTCACACTTCCAATCTTGGTCTCTACGTGCATAGAATGCAAAATGGAGAAGTAGAAGTCTCCCCCTTGGTGGCTTGGCAGACCCAGAGAGAGAAAGAGAAGAACCGCCTATGGAGATGGGCAGCCACCGAAGTTTTCTCAGGCCACCTCTGGGCTCAGCACCCTCCTTCAGCCGGATGCCAGACTCAAGAAAAATCTCTGTGATCATTTGTTCCCTTGGAGTTTTGAAAGCAGAATGCCTAATCATGGCCAAAATCAGGTAAGAGCTGCTGCTGCAAATTACACAGCGCCACAGGTAATTTCTGATTAGCTCACTCTTCCTCTCCTGGTGCATCCTCAGTTTCCATAGCAGCTAAGTCCTAAGTAAAATGGAAACATCTGGTTCAAGCGCAGGTAAAGATTCCCTGGGGAAAGAAATCTGCTGGATGGCAGCAAACACAGAATATAGCCCTCATGAAAGACAGAGGCATCGTAAGCCGAGAGCCCGGTTAGGAGAGGATGGATGGTGTGTGGGAGAAGGCAGCGAGGGGCATGGGAGTGGGAGAGGAGGGTCCTGGGGGAGCACGAGGGGATGCGGGAAGGAGAGCGGGGCTGTGGGGAAAACAAGATGCATGTGAAAAACAAACAGTGAGGAGGTTGAGTGAGACACAAAAGACATTGTCAGGGTAGGCAAGGGGAAGAGGAGAAAGAAAAAAAGGACTTCAAGGTGGGAACACATGGACTGCTTCAACCATAAATGCCGCTTGATGGTGACAGATACAGTGACAGCGACTTCGATGCCATGGATTGACACTCGGGGCCAGAGAGGAGCACGGGGATCTGCGCCCTGTATTTCATCACTCAAACGCACACAGACTGACCGAAAGCCACCCTCTCAGAGACATGACCACCTAAGGTGGATAACCAAACACGTGTACCGGGGGGGGATGGTTTTTACAGAGGCTCCTGTCAAGGGAACGGGCTGAGATGCCACCGACTCAGCTCGCTCTCTGCCTGGCCTATGGAGAGTGATGGGTCTCGCCCAGCGGTTTGCTACAGCTCAGACAAACAGCAAGAAAAAATCAATGGAGCTGCACCGAGACACCACAGCCATCGTCAGGCAGCTGAACAGAGAGAGCAGACACGGCACCATCCATCACTGCCGCCACTGCATCCTCTCCTTCAGCTCCTGGACAGCCTGGCTGGGGCGTTCCCGAGGAGAACTTGAGGCAGTTGGCTGGGAAAACACTGGTAAAACCTCAGGGAAAAAATGACTGAGGTTGAACATGAGCACTTAGGAGTTGAAGGCAGCAGAGGATCAGAACCAGGCACTGCCCTTTGGCTGGATGGGCTCATCTCACCCCCAGACTTCACCATCAGCTCACCAGTAAGAACCTCACAGCCACTGGGAATAACGGGTCAGCAAAATGCAAAACACACATCAAAAAAACCAGCTGGGAAAGGGGTTTGAAATCATATCCTCCCGAACAGGCACGTACAGGAATTGGCTTCCCAGCAGTCACACCCACACAGTTCTGCTCAGGTTTTGCTTGCCAATTAACAAGGCCACCACTTAATGCTTCGTCTGTTTCCCTGCTCATTTGCGCTATTTACAGTCCTTCTTTGAAGAGACACGCGAGAATTCCCCAAAAACTTTGCAAAACAGGGCTGAACATGCCATCCCTAAGCACAACCACCCAACCTGGTACCTACTGCCAGTCCTCCACATGACCAAAACCATAAAGCTCTTCTCCCATACTACCAAGACTGACGTTTCTCCACCAGAGTCCTCAAATCCTGCAATAAGTCACATCTTTTTGATGCACACCACCTTCTTTTTCCCAGCTGCAAGATAAACCAGCCAATGACACCTCTCCAGCTGCTCACAAATGGCACTGTGCCCTTCCCGGAATATCTCGAGTCACGTTCAGCTCTTACCTTTGGGCGAGATGTGTCTCCAGGTAATTGTTGGATCTGGTCTGCCTGTGGCTATGCAGGTGAGGCTGACGTTGCCGCCCTCGTTGATGGAGATGTCAGAAGAGATCTCGGTGATTTTTGGAGACACTGCAATGACACACAAAAGTAAATGAAAATGCAACCGGTTCTGCTCTGACTCAAATCTCAAAATGTGGGTGAAGGAGGTTGGATTTTCTTCCTCCCTCCACCTCAACAAGCTATGCAGCAGCCCATCAGTTCCATCTGACTTGACAGGAACACACAGGGGAAAGGGTGGGCAGAGAAGACAGGGTTGAAGTGGGAAGAAACTGTAGCCAGAGGGGATTCAGTTGTTTTAGGGAGGCTCAAGACAGCTCCTCCTCAGCACCTCCGTGGTGTGTGAGACAGTACTTCTTTCCCACCACACTTCCAGTACTCATCCTGTCCTCCAGCCATGAAGAACCCTGTCCAGCATTGATGCATCTTACAGAGAACACATCATCCACTCCCTTCAAACTGCCCCAAAGGCAGCAGGCGCTCCTGGCTCAACAAGAGCACCAACAGCAGTCATGCTAGCTCATCATCATGCCCTTGCAACCAGAAAAGCACCAAGAGGAGCTGGGCATAAAGACAAGTCTCCTGAGGAGTCTCTAGGGTCTACCACTGCTCAAAGGAAGGCAAATTTTATCCGGATGAAAGCCATCCCACTGCAATGGCACTGCCATCACAAATGCCCACAAGCAGGTCAGACACAACGGGCCCAGACCCAAAGAGGGGGGAGACACACACAGAAGGGGGGGTGATGAGAAGGGGAAGGGATAAGGAGCGAGCAGAGAGCGTGAGCAGAGGATGTGATGCGGCTGGCGGAGAGGGCTGGGTTTTCTACGAGCTCTACACGCCAGGGCTGGACTAGAAGAACGATCAGCTGCTGTTATCAGCCTGCACCTGCAGAACATAATAAAGACCATCACCTTCCTCGGTTTATTTTTTCTCAAGCTGTTCTCCAGGATTGGCACCCCGCTGCGGCGCTTTGCAGGAGAGTCACAAATCACTTCCAAAGCATCCTGGCTCCTTCCACCTTCCCCGGGTGAAACCCCTTCATCAACCTGCTTGAAGTTACAGCCCAGACCATCGCAACATCCCTAATTCCTGACCTGGATCCCACTCCCAAGCACCTCTCCCCACCTCCCACACCTTCCCGGGGCTGCGCCGAGCTGGAATGACTGCAATGGCCTTGCACGCATTGCCTCTGCTGTGCAGGTAAGTAATTTATTGATCCGTAAAGCACTCCAAGACGCTCTGGAAGGGATTATGTCATGCCAGTGCTGTGCAATAAAATAAAAAATGATGGATTTTTTGTGAACATGAGGGTGATTTAGGGTTTGTAGTTGGAAGTGTAGTTAAAGTACATTTTAAGTGGAAATCAAGGTGGGTAATGAATTATTCTCTATTTTGAAGGGCTTTTGGGAGTTCATTTTTTTTGCTGCTCTGGGCATGATGGCTAATCTGCTAATCATCCACCAGAGGACAACTAAGGATCAGATGCTCCCAGAACAGTGGGGGCTCTGGGGCAGGACAGTGGAGACCATGAAGATGACATCCAAAGAAATATTAATATGCAACCATGTCATTAAGCCCAGCGTAAGGGGACAGCACACGCCTCCTGGGACCACCCGCACGGAGCTGGGAGATGCTCTGCCAATCACCAGAGAGTCCATCGAGGAGATGCAATTACTTACAGCGGCACTACGGTTGTCCCACTGTGTTCCCAGTGAGGCTGGGACCACCAGTCAGCAAACCCATGTGTGCTTTGAATAGACTGAGCTTACAGTTTTGACACTGAAAATAGGCCAAAGAGATATTACCCTTGCCATTTCGGGGAGGTGGAAAGAGACAAGCGAAGCTCAGTCAATCGTCCTCCATCGCCTGCAAAGATGCAATAGCTTCCAGCTGTAAGTCCCCAAAAAAACCTAAAGCAGTATTTATCATCTTCAAAACCATGCTTCCTAAATCACAGAGAAACCTTTCTGATGTTTTTTTAACTACTGTATCCACATCAACCCAATTCAGCTTGTTTTGCAGAGCTCACCGAGACTTAAATAATAATAATAATTTAAAAAAAAACCACAAACAAACAAATAACAAAACACCACAAGTCAGACTTTGCACTGTGACTCTGGTACCACACACACACACATCTGCACCTGCCCAGACGAGACAAAAATCTGTAATCAAATCCACTGAACGGATTTGAAAAGTAATGAAAACAAATAAACTTGGATTTTCCCAAACCATAAACTTTACATCCTCCACAGCAATCCAATGGGAGATTTAAGCTTTGCTCAGACCGGGTAGGGGAGGAGAAGTGATGGCCAGTGTTGCTTGGCCAGGCAACTGGAGACTTTGCAACCCTCCCTGGTAAGTGCAAAAGCAGCTCGAGCTGCCCGTACCCTGGAGAAAAAGCCCACCCTGCTTTGGTGACACATTGAAAAAGAGTCAATTTACTGGGATGAGATAAGGCAGGAATGGCTGGGAAGTAAACCAGAGTCAGCAAAGTCGTTAGCTTACCCTTAAATTAAATATGCAGTGGTAGGATTTAACAGGATAGTTATTGTATGCTAATTAAACATTTGCATAATTAACCACACAAACTATTTAAAATGCCTTTCTGGAGACCGAACAGGTATGTTGGAAGGTTTTTGCCACACTAGGGAAGGAAACCTTAATAAATAAGTGATTTTAAGTATATATTTAATATTCCTGAGCGGTCACCGGTGCTCCCGTTCCCTCTGCATTAAAACGCTTTCGCCGTCAGTTGGCATTTCTGCAGCAATGGGGCAGAGGAGAAATTTCTTCTGCTGAACGCAGGATGCAGATGGAGCTGTGCCCCTATGGGAATGAATAAATAAATAAAGCTAAATAAATGCAGGCTTCCCAGGCGGGAACCCTCTCCTTGCGGGCAGTCCTTTTGTGTTCAGCATCTCTCTTGCTCAGAAGTGATTAAACATGGCAGTGTTGGCCAAGCTGCTCCGGTGACACAGCGCAGATTTCCCCAGAGATGGGCTGGTGTTTTATCGATCTGACTTCTTCTTTTCCCCCCCCTGTGCTTGCCCTGATGATGGGAAAGGTCTTTGGGCTGCTCTCAGCCGCTGCAACCCACTGCAGGTACCCAAGGCATGCCCTCGGTTTGCCTGGACTTGATGCCCACTTGCACACGTGGAGCACCCGGGACAAAAAGGAGCTCGCTTAAATATTTAACCCAACCACGTGGGTGTTCAGTCAGGTGATATATCTCTTTGCAGATCTAAGCATATGCGCTTGCCTACACAGATATATTCCCTGGCACGCAGACACCCTCCTGCCACTGGCACAGACTGCATCCCCGCTATGCTTTCACCTCCAGACACCCATCCCACAGCCAGCACAAGTGCATCGCATCTTTGGCCTTGCCACCTCCTGTCATCATGACTTCCCATCCATCTTCCTTGCATGCAACGACCACGTTGCTACCTGTGCTTCCCCACCGTTGTCTCCTGATGCACCCTTCAGCGCGGCTGGGCTCCCCAGGCACCCCAAATTTCATCCACGCATCAAGCAATAGCCAAAAAGACCCCCGAGTATTAGGGGAGGGTGGACCTGGAGCAACCACTCCACCAGAGACAGGGAAGGAGACCTCGGATGAGGTTGGGTGCCTGCAAGGAAGAACTACAATTTTTTTGGCTTAACTACATCCTTTCTACCCAGTTTTGGGAGCCAAGCCAGTAGCACAGAAATACACGTGTCACCTTTCCAAACCTGCAAATCCCTTCTCGTGCTTGCAGGGCTTGCAGCCCCCAGCAGTGCTCTGAGAGCGAGCGGGCTCTCCTGGTGAGCACTGCCTTGCTTCCCCCTCATAAAACATGCAAACCTCCATCTTCCAGCACGAGCAACATCTGCTCCAGATCAAAGCAAACAACAAAGAACAAATATAAAAGCGTCTCGAAGACAGAAAAAAAGAGGGAGATTCAGACTCGCGTTCTGCGGGCGATCTGTGATGTGCACTGGCAGCTTCCTGAACATCAGGTTGGTGCTGCTCCTGCTTTTAATAACAGCCTCTTACCGCTGTCACCCACATCCTTCCCCGTCTTTTAAAGAGTGCTGCTACCATGGGTCCTGCCTCTGGGACTCGGCGAGGGGCAGCCCCGGGTGCCCCAGCCCTGCTCATCGTGATGCTACGAGTCGGATGGAGCCCACGCTCCTGGGCCAGCGATGGAGGGATCTGCCAAAGTCAGCTGGGATCGGGTGCAAGTCAGGGATCCCAACATCGGGTTCCCCATCCAGCTCCTCCAAGTTGGAACCAGAGAAATTTCTTCTCCTTCGGCAGCAGCCGTCGGGTTGGGAAAAGGTACTTCCATTCTGCCTTCTTCCTACCTTTTTTGTGTTCAAAACCTTCCTGCTTTTTAAGGAAGCCAGAGAGCAAACTGAGACACCTGTGCCTTCAATTACAGGTGTATTATAATGGGCTTTTCAATCAGTTTGTGCCACTCTAACACAACCATAATTAAGAGAAAAGCAGAGATGGCTTTATCCTTCCATCATATCAACACAGCTCAGGAGCTGTATTGAAGAAGTCCACAGGGTGTGAGGAAGGACAAACACAACCTCAGAGCCTGCTTGCAGCTACACTGCTCCATCCCATAGGCTTGTATACAAAAAAATTACAATTACAGGTGCTGATTCTGCCCCCTGGGACTGTCTCTGCCCTGGGTTTGCACCATCACCCCCTTCCACGCCTGGTTCAGGTCAGCTATGCCGAGGGACCGAGCCCCTCTTGGCACAAACCTGGAGGCAGCTAAAGACGTGAAGAAAGCAGCCTGAAAATGAAGAGGACATACATAACGACCTTAATAAGCAATTAATAAATAACTAATGGCAATTGCTCGTTTTAAAGCAAGGCATAATGAGATGTGTCATACGGCACCGAGATGTGTCTAAATGATTTCCCGAGTAGATAATGGCTCCTGTTGCAGCAAAGCTCTCCTGAGCTTGGAGGACACCAGATTTTTTTCCGCCCGTCTCTGCAGCGGGTTATACGGCACGGCATTGTAATAATTCAGAGGAGGAGGGAGAAACAAGACGTTTCCAATCAT